CTAAATACATGCCATGTGATATGAGAATTTTTGTTTTCACAATTTTCTTACCTAGAGAAGTTGTGAAGTCATGGAGTTAATTTTTTAAAATCCGTTGGAAATGACACAGTATCGGTCAGTCACCTGAAGGAGTTAATACAACTGTAGAAATGAACAGGTTGTCTCTAATTTACACATACTTTAAATAGCCATCTTTGGTTTAGTATTTCTACAATGTGGCTGCGAACAAATTCACTCACTAATTTTAGCAAGCAATTAAGTGAAAAGATTTCCACCTTTGTTCTTTTAGACCAATTAATGTATGCAGACAAACACTTCTAAATAAAACCTACAGTAATGATCACACAAACTAACTTAACTCAATACATGTGATTTCAGAATTTTTGTTTTCACAATTTTCTTACCTTAAGAGAAGTTCTGAAGTCGTGGAGTTTTATTTTTAAATCCGTTGGAAAGGACACGGTATCAGTCAGTCACCTGAAGGAGTTAATACAACTGTAGAAATGAACAGGTTGTCTCTAATTTACGCATACTTTAAATAGCCATCTTTGGTTTAGTATTTCTACAACAAGAAAATTGTCATGTGAAAATGAAATCCACTGAATCAATTGTCTTACAACTATCATCAGTCTATTAAAGCACATATATTCATTGCAACTGGGCAATTCGATTTTTCTCTGTGGCTTAATTAATCATCTTAAGTAAGCTCTGGTTCAGTATTATTTCGTAGTGTTGTGAATATCACATTTTGCAAGTTATTCTTATAAATGTGCGTGATAATTACGGCTTATCTGTTGATATCTTTAGCGTTGACGCCTTCGGCGCACTACAGCGAAACCATTGTTGTTGCTTAATAGTCTTGTATGGTTCACTGAANTTTTTCTCTGTGGCTTAATTAATCATCTTAAGTAAGCTCTGGTTCAGTATTATTTCGTAGTGTTGTGAATATCACATTTTGCAAGTTATTCTTATAAATGTGCGTGATAATTACGGCTTACCTGTTGATATCTTTAGCGTTGACGCCTTCGACGCACTACAGCGAAACCATTGTTGTTGCTTAATAGTCTTGTATAGTTCACTGAAACAGCCACAACTCTTTTGAACATAAATAAATTAAGTCGCACTAGTAGAGAATCACAAAACAGGATTATTTTATTGGCCAGTTGACAAGCATAGCAAATCAAGTTTTTGACGAATTGTTTTCTCCAACAAATTGTCCAAACCAAGCGAGTAAAACAATTCAACGATGTTGTTTTAGACCCATACATATGCAGACAAACACTGCTAAATATATTTACCTATTTAAATCACACAGACTAGAATTCACATATTAAATTTTTTTCCCATAATTTTCTTACCTTAAAAAGAAGTTCTGTAGTTGTGCAGTTGATTTGAATTCTCAGTGTTGAAAATGGTTATGTGTAAGTCAGTCACCAAGGAGCTTAACAACTGTAGAAACAATAGGTTGGCTCTTAAATCTCTTAGGTAACATATAAAACACGCTACGAACAAATGAATTAAGCAGCAAAATAATATTGAGATCAATAATAAGAAAGATGACTTGTGCTTTTTCGCATTGGGTTTATGGCTCTAGCTAAAGCACAAGAGAATAATTCCTTACACGGAAATTGTATCTGCTAACATTTCAATCTAGCTTCTTAACTTTCACCAAGGACATGAGTCGTTCAGTGTTTACGAGTCAACAACGATGTGCTACAAGCCATTATGAATTTCACCTTACTTCAAAGACTTAACGCAGAAACACAAACAAAAACCGGACTCTGTAAAATTTGGAGCTGGTTTCCATAAACAGTTTACTACATGGCACTTTTGACCATAAAGACTGAATAAGACCAACATATAAACCTGTCAGTTTGCCAGTAAATGAAGCATGTTTACAGTACAACAGGGTTCGCACCGTATTTCAGAAACAAATAATTCCAGGACTTTTCCAGGACTCAGATTGATTCTTCCAGGAGTCTAAAATTAGCATTAACCATTTCATTCCCAAGATCTCGATGTTAATTCTCCTTACTGTCTACCCTACATTTCATTTTATTACATGAGTTTAACAGATTTCCAGAACTTTTCGGGACCTGAGGAGCCGTTCTACTAGGACTTTCCAGTTCTGGAAAATGCCACAATAAAATTCTAGGACTTTCCAGGTTTTCCAGAACCCGTACGAACCCTGTGTAAAGATGGGTTTAATAAGACAAACCCAAAGATTCAACAGCAATGTTTGGCAAACAGGCATGATAAGAATGTAATCCATCAGTGAATACCGACTGTTTAATTAAAGCGGCTTTTTCTGATCATTACTGATAACCGGTAAATCCATAAGAAACGCTACCTAATTATATTCTCCGTCTAGATATATTCGTTGTGTAATAGAGTCTGTGGAAATTGGCTACCAACTCTTTCTATCGCAGTTAATTTTGCAAGTTACTCTTTCAAATGTGCGTGATAACTGCTCGTCTGTTTATATCTTCAGCGTTGACGCTTTCCGCGCTACAGTAGTGAAGCTATTGTTTTTGCTTAGTCTTGTATGACTCACTGAAACAGCTAGAGCTTTTCTGAATACGAATAAAGTAACAGTGTACAGAATCAAAAAACAGGATCATGTTATTGGCCAGTAATAACAAACATACACTGCGGTAAATGAAGTGTTCGAAAGATTGGTGTCTACAACAAATTGGGAAAAGTAAGGATGCAAAAGCTTTCTAACTTTGTTGTTTTGGACCAATACATATATTATGCGGAGAAACATTGCTAAGTATAATCTTTTAATTGCACAGACTAGAATGCACATATCAGATTTTTTTCAAAATTTTCTTACCTTGCAGAGAGGTTCTGTGGTCATACAGTTGTTTTTTAATTCACTTGAAAACGAGCCAGTGTCAGTCACCAGGGAGTTAATACAACTGTAGAAACAAACAGGTTGGCTCAAATCTGACGAAACATTTACTGATACATTTGCGTTTAGTCAAAATTGAAAGAATTGATGCTAACAAGGCAGCAATGAGATCCAAAATTGAAACTTAAAAGTTAACCCATAAGAAAGATTTGCTTTTTCGCGCTGGGTTTATCGCAGTTGCGTCAAGAGAAACTTTTAAAACTTGAGCCAGGCAAAAAGACAGCAATACTAATTACTATCAAGTAAAATGCTAAACTTACTGCTCGCTAGTGTATACTGGTTACTGATTAATTGTAAATACTCCCCGGTTTTAGGAACTTCGGCCATAATCTACGATAAAGAACCCGATTATAAATCACAGCAGCAGATCATATATGTGTTTTCAATCTGTAATTAATCTAAGAATCAAGTATCTGCAAGTTTATGTGGCCCTCAGCTTTTGTTGTAAAGTAAACTTATGCGCTCACCGGAAAAAATGCAAATGAAATGACGATTTAGGTTGATCTGATTTCGCTAAAGTTTGCTGGTAATTGAACTACTGATTCTACCCCTAACAATGAAATTGTTCCCTGACAAAGGTGATGAGTTTGTTTAGGACAACTGAGTCGTTCATGATGAATGCTTGCGAAACGTAGAAACAGGCTACATTTTCCGCTTTCAGTTCTTTGAATGCGTACGTGTCTCGAGTTTTATAAGTGCTGGTTATGAAAGATAGTTAGGTGACAAATTAATGGACATTCAATTAAAAACTACTAAACAATTAACCACAACTTCAGAAATGAGTAAGGTTTTCTCATCTTTGTTGCTTGTTAACGCTGCCCAATTTTGCTCGTTCCTAAAATGTCTAAAATGTGCTTACGTTTGATAATTTAATTTCACTCATCCTGCTTACCTGAANTCAGAATCTGCAATGATTACGATATCAGAAGGACTTAAGCGAAACGTTATAAACGGGACCCACGATCCGTATAACAATCTGTAGCGCTAACCTTGGCTGTTTCCACGGATCAATAGTGCCGAGCTGAGAGGCTCCCCCCGTCCCCATGGGGTACTCCCGTATGGTTTTGTAGCCGGTTTGGTCTCAAATAGGATATGGCTTTTGCGCTCTAGTCCTGAATTGGGTGCGGTATTTTTCGTTGATATCTTCAGCGTTAATGCCTTCCGCACTACAGTCAGGCTATTGTTTTTGCTTAGTCTTGCATGGCTCACTGAAACGGCTAGAACTCTTTTGAATATAAATAAAGTCACACTTGTAAAGGATCACAATTTTACAGAATTATTTGATTGGCCAGTTACCAGCATAGCAAATCAAGTTTTCGATGAATTGTGAATTCTCCAACAAATTGTCAAAAGGAAGCAAGTAAAACAATCCAACTTTGTTGTTTTAGACCCATACATATGCAGACAAACACTGCTAAATATAACCTATTTTAATAAAATCACACAGACTAGAACTGACATATTATAATTTTTTTTCATAATTTTCTTACCTTACAGATAAGTTCTGTAGTTGTGCAGTTGTTTTGAATTGTCAGTGTTGAAAATGACTTGTGTAAGTCAGTCACCGAGGAGTTACAACTGTAGAAACAAACAGGTTGGCTCTTAAATCTCAACTTATAAAACACTTGCTCTAATAGCCTAGTCAAAATTCAAAATGTTGCTGCGAACAAAGCAGCATATAAGACATCGAAAATAAGAAAGATGTACGGTTTTCGCATTGGCTTTATCGCTCTAAAGCACATGAGAATATTCCTTACATGGAAATTGTATCTGCTAACATTTCAATCTAGCTTCTTAACTTTCACCAAGGAGAAAACAGTCTTTCAGTGTTTACTAGTCAACACTCTTATGTGTGCTAGATTAGCCATTATGAATTTCATTTTACTTTAAAGACTTAACGCAGAAACACAAACAAAAACCAGACTCTGCAAATTTGGAGCTGGTTTCCATTTAACAAATTGACATCAGTTTTTTATGCGTCAGACTGTCCTGTTATTAATCATGAACTTCGTCATAACATTGTCAAAGTAGCTGTGGATCCACGAGGGGACAGTTGAGTGGATCCGCATACTACTTCGACAATGTTATGACGAAATTCATTGTTAATAACAGGATAGACTCATGAAAAACTGACCTCACTTTTTTTACAATAACTGTCAGTTTGCCAGCAAATGAAGCATGTTTATAATATAACAGGGTTCGCAGCGTATTTCAGAAAAAAATTTCCAGGACTTTTCTAGGACTCAATGATTCATTTCCAGGAGTCTAAAATTCACATTAACTATGTCATTCCCAAGATCTCAATGTTAATTCTCC